GCGCTTGCCAACAGCGTTTCTTTGCCTTTGCGTGGTGATTGGCTCGTAGCGTTTCTTGCATCTGTGTTGATTGGCTCTATAATAACTTTGAACTGGTTTTGCTTTCGTCAGTCAATGAGAAACCGTTACAAGCAATTACATTGAGCTCGTTGTTTGTGGGCTGTCAGCAGTAACTACACTATGGACAAAGCTGAAACAATTCATTAAAGATTGGTCGCAAAGATCTTTTTTGTGCACGTTCACGAAGTTGTGCGTGGACCTTACAATAAGTACTCAAGTCTGGTTTTATTTTCCTTTAAAACAGAAAGGACTTCTTTAATATAGCATTTCATAAATCTTATTCTCTATCATTGAAAGTTTCAATCCAGAATTGTGGCTGCCTCAAAATTCATTTATTTCCTCAAGTGAAAATAAAGTTTTCGGCGACTGCGTCGATGTAGAATATAATGTTTCAGATGCAATAGTGGTAGACACAATGCAAAACTATTCATAAAATCTATTTTTCTATTTGTTATACAGTCGAGGTTGAACGTTCCCCTGTTTATGGAAGCTAACACGGGAAGGCTTGCTTTGTGAGTTTGTTTTCGTTTGTAAGTCTCGGAGTTGAGGCTTAACATTTTCGCTGATATGAAGATGAAACGAACAAATATTGCTCTGGAAATTCTCATACTGCCCTGTGCCTGTTTATTTCCACATTTGATAAGCGTGGCTACCGTGTGATCTGTGTAGTACAAAGTCGAAAATGTCCCTCGTCTGTACCAGATTAAGATTGTAAGGGTGATATATAAACGTTTGGGTAAGTTTACAATTAAAACAAAAAACAAACAAAAAAAGGTTTTTACCTTATGCCTCTTCAGACACAACCAAAAACTGAAACATTACCTAAGTACGGTGAACTTGACCATTCACCATTGTGGGACATTTTCGCGAAATTAAATTTTTGCGTTTTTTGCGACTTTTTTTGTTAATCGCAAACATTTGAAGTCGCGAAAAAATAAGTGGCTCTACTCAATAAATAATGTTAAATATTCTCGAAACTCGCGAAATATCGCTCTTACGAAATAACGGAATTAAGATGTTCGTGTAATAACTTAATAGGTAGTATATTATGTCAATGCTTTACTTGAAGCACAACACAGCTGTTTGTTCATTTAGGAGCCCTCGCGTTTCAATTATTCATCAGGGATCAATAGTTTTCTAGTTCTCAGTACTAGTGTGAATATTTTAGTAGTGGAGAGTACGGGAGATAGCTAATAGTATGCATTTCCTTCCTAGGTATTTTATACGAGTCGCTTTGTTGAATCACTTAGCGTAATTATGCGCGCTGATCCATGGTCAACTACTAAGGCTCAAGCAGTATTTGAATCATCGGAAATTAATTTCTATTCCTTTTTGCATTACAACTGTCTGAGGCTCCGTCCACACTGCGGAGGAGGAAATTGAAAAGGGAGCTTTCACTCTGAAAACGTATGAAATGTTTTCCGTCCACACTACGCTGGAGGAATTTGAAAACGGAAGTTCACTCTGAAAGCGCATCGAATGTTTTCCGTCCACACGGCGCCGGAGGAATTTAAAAACGCAACAATCAGCGGTCATTTTGGATTTGTGTTTGAGGAAAACTCGTTCAGGGAAGTCACATGATTATCGTGACGCCATTGTTTTCGAAAAAACTCCGTTTTCAAAGTGTTTTCTGTCCACGCGAAAACGAAACGCTGGCGTTTTCAAATTTCACCGGTTTGAAGAGCGTTTTCGTAACGGATTAGTGTGGACGGTAGGTCTAACCGTCGAAATAAAGCTGTGCTTTCTAATTCTCCGGCGTAGTGTGAACGGGGCCTGTAAGCAGTCTTCTTTGTTAGTTCAAGTTCTTGGAGCAAGTGCTCTCTTGGCATTCAATTTAAACTTTTAAAGCGACTTAACAGAATATTGCGCTCATGAGCGAAATGACGAGCTTAAAGAAAATAAAGTTGGAGGATTTTTCATGCGTGAGTGTCTCTGTTTTTCGCAGTTTTGTATTCTCGGTATTGGACTGGAACTAGCTTGCAATGGCGGCTCATGCGGGGAAATATTATTAAAAATGGAAATAAATGTTATTTTCCATTTGAAAAGATTTCCCCCATTAGACTCAGCTGCAAGCTAATTCCAGTCGAATACCGAGAATACGAAGTTGTTTCAGGGTGCAACTCAAACTGAGTCCTTTCTGTTCTGGAAGACGTTGGACGATCTATCTAGCCTCTTAACTCTTCACACATGACATGATGAAACTAGATGAGAGTGTTTGAAAGTCGACATTATCTGATTCCAGTTAGCGCCCTCCTTCCAACAAGTTCGTTCTTTGTGATAAGTGCACTCCACCTCCTTTGAGCATGTTCTTGTTGATAAGCGTATCAAATGTAATAGAACCCGCTAGACCGATATGCGCTCTTGTAACCTAAGCGCCCTACTTTATTTAACTTAAAAATAAAAACCATCTGTGGTTCATCTTTCTTCCCGCCACTCTCTCAACCCCGGCCGACCTCCCCAGTTACTTTGTAGCCTCGTCTTTGACCTGAAAAGAGTGGTATCTACTCTCGTGTCCAGACCCATTTGAGTCGCTAACAGTCGGGGCCTTGGCACGACAAACGCTGTCTCTGTATCATCGTCCCTTCTCAGTGTATCGACTACAGAAACGGCTGAGTAAGAAAAACAAAGCTTTATTGGGTTCCACTACTACACGTATAGAACTATTGGTTTACATCATGTAACTGCCTGTTTTTGTAAGTGACCAGTTTCAACCTATTTCTACTTGTATTTTATAAACGGAAATCATCATCTTGAGAGTATTAGGCTAATTTTGGGAGCATAAAATTCGTCGAATTAACTCCATAAACCTTTTTGTTAAGAGGTACATGTAAGAAGTCAAATTTTTCTTGTAAAAAAAGGTAACCTCGAATAAACAAACAAAAAAGGACAACGATGGTTAAGATTGGGACGGATTACGAGCGACGACAGAGGAAACTTCAAGGCGTGCCAACACGACAGAATTAGCTTTAATTATAAAGACGGGGAAGAAGTACGATTTCTAGACAATTTTAATTCATAACAGCACTTTGACTGTTTCTTATTCTGATTCGCCGATAGAACAAAAAAACTCTCACTTCCTAGTCCGTCGAAACAATTTGACAGCACTGCACCAAAACTACTAACAGAAAGCTCGAGTATCAAGCATTTCTGCTACATGATGCGAGAGAGCAAGTAGAATCTTCACCGATCAATGGCATGCCTTTTTTTTTTTTTTTTAATTCTTAATCGACAGCTTTTTACGTGTAAATTTAACTACATTAAAAGAGGTATTTAGAGAAGGACGTCTTTCTCGTTTATGTCGTTCTCAACTGGTAATCTGAAAGAGCAAAATATACAGGAATTGAGTTCTCTTTGGCTTTCAGACTTTCTCGAGGGACAACAGATGCGTCCAATGTTACCCTAACCAATCAGAAGAAGCACGCTTTTTCTAGAACCAACCAATTGAACCGATCAAGGGCAAAGGAAGCGCAACCAATTTAACCAGTCGTGGCTTGGCACCTGAGATATGTTTTCCAGCGCTTGGCGCCGGTTACAGGTTTTCCCGCGCTTGACACCGTTTGACTGTTTTCCCACCTCTGGCAACGCATCGAGCTCCAATTGAATTATTGCGTTATTTGCGTTTCTGGTGAATTATCAGATGTAATTGCCTTCGCTCGTTTGCCCCTAATCTGAACGCTTTCCAGTTTTCCGGGATATCGAGAGAACGTTCGGCGTAGATTTGAGAAAACGCATTCTAAGTAGCGCTGTTTACAATGTTGAATTAGTACTATTAAACCTACCTCCATTTTGTGTAATGTAACGAACCCAAGGAAGGGCTTGGTAACCGCTCTTTTCTATAATCTTTAGATAACGGACCTGCGAGGAACAAAGTACAAACATCATTGAAATAAAGTGTTTATTGACTTTTTCCAAAATAACCAAGAGCATTTTCATCTCTGGTGGGCAACATAAATAAACAGTTTTCATGACAAGGTCCGAAACACATTTCTAGGAATCTAACGTCTCCATAACGACAAAGAACAGTTTCTAATTGAGTGTCGAAAAACCAAAACCAATATAATCACTCTAGGCAATCACAAGGGACACAGACAATCCAATGAAGCAATCAAAACTTGAAGTAATTACATGAAGCTAACGCAAAGCGCGGGAAAACGCGTGCAAACGAGTCATGATTGGTTCTGATTTTGGTTTTACTTCTGATTAGTTGAAAAAGTGGCACGAGTTTTTTCTTAAGCCAATCGCGTAGCGTAGTGATGCAAAACCAATTACTTTTCGACACTCAAGTGAACACCGCTCTAGAGCGGTTTTCAAATGAGTGCCGAAAGTAATCAAGCAATTATTTTGGTTCTGGTTTTGGGTTTACGACACTCAGTTGAAAAGCGCTCTATGCAGTAAGTTCGAAATGAGACTAAATGGAACACTGTGTCATAAGTTACCTGAATGCCAGATACTGTGAAGTACGGAATTTCAAACTTGACTTTAATCGGTGGTCTGCCTTGGTCAACCTCTGCGGGGAGAAAAATATCATGGTGCTTCAACAAACAAAGTGACTTCAACTGCCCTGAAGAAAGCCGCTACGCCCCCCCCCCCTTCCCCCCCTCGAGATCTTTGTTCCCCCAGGGGGTAAAGTTGGAACGGCAACAGTTTAATAAAAAGCCAGAAAGNGATAAGATTATGCTATTAATTCCGAGCAATGTTATGTTGTCACATGTTTGAAAACATGATAAAATCATTATATGTTTTGACTGAATACACATCGAACCCTGTTATTTCTTTACATTTATCCATTTGCAGTAGCGGATCTAGGGGAGGGGCCCGGGAAGGCCTCTCCGTCTTATCTAAGGTAAAAAAAGAAATCGTAGAAGGAAGAAAAGCCGGCAGGGCAGGCCAAAAAAACCGGGCCCCCAACTTAGCTCAATGTCTGGATCCGCCACTCGTCACCTTAAAGATTTAGAGTCGAACTTAAATAACTCTGATGTGAACTTAAAGACAAACACGAGCAAGGAGTGGAAGTTTCCCCTCCCCTCCCCTCCCTTCACACAAAAATAACAAGCCAATAGTACAACAACGAGGAGTGCGATCTTTAACTTGCTCGAAGTGACTAACCTGAGTCCACGCTTGGTAACCTAAAGTGAGCTCTCAACAAGAATTCTTTTCCTCCCTGTTGGAAACAAGTGAACAGACAGACAGACAGGGACGATTTAGGAACGTCACAACGACTGAGCTTTGAAAATCTACTGCTGTTATAAGTAGTTAAATGATGAGGGATGTAGGGATGTTCAAAACAAGACGCCAGTAAAAACATGCACGGCATGCCTATTTATACCAACCAACAAGACATTGAGTAAACTGTAAATTAACCTAGTTTTGCTTTTTTCGTTTTCTTATCGAATTATACCCTGTTTCTAGTCGTTTTTTGTTTTTGTTTTTTTTGTCCTTCATCAAATTTGGGTCGCTAATTAATACACGGCCGGACTCTTGTGGTCTGTGCGCAATGAGCGGTTAAAAAGTGAAAACTTGCTAGGACTTGCTAATTTGAGCCAGATTTCAACACAAGCCAACACAATAAAACTAACGTGTGATGCCTGCAGGCTCAAGAACTTCTTTGCCCTAGATTAACTTTGCTAAACTTACCGGGAAGGATTTCATATTCCACACGATCTCATTATCCTCAGGAGTGTACTTCACAGTTCCTACAGTTGTCTAAAAGAGAAGAGTGACTGGATTTAGCAGCCTTTTCCTCAAGACCTCGGGCACAGTTTTTCCTACTACAGACCTCCCGACCGGCAACTAGCATAACTATACGAGTTTAATGCATGCGGGGTGTATGTGTTGAAATGTCAGTCATCTCCCTCCCTCTGAGGGCAGGAGATGACTGACATTTCAGGCTAGTGTTAGGAATAAGTAGCTTTTAACACCAATACATTTTCACGAACGTACGTAGGTATGTTACAGTGATAACAACTTCCTAATCAGACCAGAAAGTATAATGTTACGTGTGGATCTGTCTGCAGCAAGAAGAAGTAAAAGGTATTCATACTTTAAATTTAGGAGAGTCCGCATCCGGTGGGACAGGAATGTGAATTTCAACATTGTTTGCAGTTGAACGTCTCTTGAATTGGCTCTTAGCCTGCAAGAATACAAACAAAGTCAACACATGTATAAAATACACTTTAATCTCTGCTGTATGACATCTGCCAATCCTCTGTCCGCTAACTATGAAACCTAGCGTGTTGAATGGCCCAGAGTCCAACTGTGTATGCATGGTTGTAAGTATAAGAAGTCTAAGTAAGAACTCTGACACTCATATAAAATCCAGAGAGTTATACTAATATTTAAGGTTGGTTTTCACTATCGACGGAGTCGTAATTAGAGTCGTAATCAGAGGCGCAGAGTGATACGATCTAGTGAAAATCAAACCGACGGACTCGGAAGCAGAACAACGATTCCACTTATGACTCTGTCACTTATGTACTTGTAAAAACTACAAAGTCAGAGTTGGAAGCAGAAGCGGACTAATGAACCAATCACAATGCTCGATTCCGGGCCTTGTGATTGGTTAGTTCTTCTGCTTCTGCTTCGGACTTCGACAATTTAGTTTTCACTGGATCATAAGCGATGCAGTCGTAAACGGAATTGGGAGAAATGGAAACATTCTGATTCTTCCGACTCCTATTCCGTCGAGCTTATGACCCCGCTTACAACTCCGATTTTTAATTTTCACTAGGTCGTAAGCTCTCTTACGACCAGACTCTGTCGCTAGTGAAAAAAGCCTTTTTTGGGTCAATAGAGGGAGCAAGGATGGGGCATTGGCGAGAGCGCTCATCTTCCACCAATGTGGACCGTGTTCAAATCCCGAACGCAGCGTCACATGTCGCTTTACTTTATTGTTGATTCTACTCCCTTTTCCAAAGGTCTTTCTCTGGGTTCTCTGTTTTCCATCCTCCTCAGGATCTAAACTACAATTTGATCTCAAAATAGAGGACAAATAGCCACTTTGAGGATGTACGAGTGCTAAATCCTCTGATCATTTATTTGTTCAACGAAATATCAGATTTGCATCCTTTCTTCGGCCAACACTTTAGTCTGAAACATAACGAAAGCTGTGGGCAGACTGTCGGTCGTTTGCCGACAAAAGACCGACAGTCAACCAACAGTTGACCAACAGTCGGCCGATAGACGACCAACAATATCTTTTGAGAACTGTTCTTCACTTTTACCGAAACAAGTACAGTGCTGCCATCAAATTGTGATCCAATATTGATGACTCAGACCTACCTTGATCATGTATTCTACTCGGCTGTGAGAATGGCGTTCGATCACCGACTCAATCCAGATTAAAGGTTTCACCTGTTAACAAACAGAAGAAAAAGCTTTGAAGTCTGAGCCAGTTGCACAAGATTTGTCCATTACAAAAGTGACAAAATTTAGCTTGCTCTGTTGGAAATGGGCAGCTGCACACTGATAAAAGTTTGTTAATTGTAAAGGAGATAGTTAAAATCCAGTACGTGGCCAAGTTTCAACACGAAATTCATCAGGGTTTGTTACGTATGTGATGAAGATCAGTCCAAAGGTTTGTTAACTATACCAGAAGGGTAGACTGCAAGCAGTCTCTCTCTTGCTCAAAAATCCGTAGGGAAGAATGTAAAACAAGTCTTTTGCATTTTGTGGAGAAGAGCGCACCGCTCGCTTGTGTTACGTTCTTTTTTGCGTTCTTCCCCACTGATTTTCCAGCAAAAGAGAGATTGCTTGTAGTCTACCAGGAGAGTTGCACTGTCTTATGTGATAAAATTTCTTTTCGTATTACCAATGTAAGACTATTGTGTGAACGCTGCAGCTTTGGTGAGTTGTACTGTTAAGAAAAGAAACCCTTAGCTGTATAGATTAAACTCTTACATGAGTGTTGAGCCTGTAGGACATCAGTTCAAATTCACCATCAGGGGGAATGAATGAAATTGTGCGGTCATTCTCAAATCTGGACAGACGGACACACTGGTGAAACTTAACGTCCTCCAGTTCCACAGCTTTGCTTTTGCTTCCTGCAGAAAAACAAAATTCCAACAAGTGTCTAAATATTTAATTTTGAAGACACTGAGTTTGGGGACATCTGTGGGTTAGGGGTTGTCCAGCTCATGATCATGAGTTTTATTCTCAATTATTGAAGTTTCTAGTTGTGTCTCGCAACATATTAGCAATTTTGCTATTTTAAATTCGAGGTGAAATAAAGGTTATTGTATTGTATTGTTGTATTGTATTGTAACAGTATTTTGAAAATTGAGAGTAACCAAGTACATGCACATGAATTCCATCAACTTCAGAAAATCCAGGCCCCGTTCACACAACGCTGGAAGAATATAAAAACGGAGGTTTGACTTTCACTCTGAAAACGCATCAAATGTTTCGCATCCACACTACACCAAACGGATTTGTAAATGCAACAATCAGCAGTCATTTTGGATTTGGATTTCAGGAAAACTCGGGCAGGGAAATTGTACTATTATTGTGATGTCATCATTTTCGAAAAGCTCCGTTTTCAAAATGTTTTCCGTCCACACTAAAACGCAAAACTGGCGTTTTCAAATTCCTCTGGTTTGAAGAACAATTTCGAAATTAGCTCTGTTTTCATGGTGGATTAGTGTGGACGGTAGGCCTAGCCATAGAAATAAGGTCCTCCAGCGTAGTGTGAACAGCTCCTTAGGCTCCAGTAAAGGATTAAAATCTACTGTTGAAACATTTTCAAGATTGTTTGCTGACCACTCTTTTTTTGTTTGTTTGTTTGTTTCTTCTAAATAGTATAGTTTCTTGGGAAGATGGGGGGGGGGGGGGGGGGGGGGGGNNNTTATTATTGCATCTACCACGATGAATAACAATAACCTTTTCCTCGACATGTTCATTCTAGTATCAAATGGTATAGTAGTGCTTACACACTTTAAGATTGCAAGACCAGTGGAAATTTTCTTTCAGGTAGCAGTTATGTCTAGGCGCCAATTGAGGGATTCGTCAATGTAAACTCCAAGATGTTTGGTTACCCTGTCTAGTGGTGTATTATGGACTTCAACTGTAAAATCATAATGTATTTGGGATAACTTGAATTTACTCCCTGTGAGCATGTACTTAGTTTTCTTGACATTTAGAGTTAATTTGTTTGCTGTCAGCCAGGGCTGGATCAAATTCATATCATAATTCATTTTGTGTTCAAGGACATATGGGTCTTCCACAGATGAGGTAAGAGTCGTATCATCTGCATACATTCTGGCTTTTGAAAACAAATTACACGAGGGAAGATCGTTTATGTAAACAGGAAACAGGAGAGGTCCTAAGATAGAGCCCTGTGGAATGCCACATATCACATTACAGAAATCAGATTGAGCTCTATCAATAAATAACTTTTTCTTCTATACAAATGTTTTTGCTGCTTTGTTTTGTATATGGTTATTTTAAACTCAAAACAGGCCAAACAATATATATATCTTATTAGATGTTTTGGTGTGTAGTATCGCTGTAATTTTTACTGGTTTTGCCGTATTTTGACGAGCCCGTAGGGCGAGTCAAACTACAAACGACGAGTTAAAATATACAGCGATACTACACACCGAAACATCTAATAAGTGATTTATTATCCAAAGATTTCTTGTCCCAAAATTCTGACTTGCCAAGTTCTTTAACCTTTCACACGGCCAGGAGGAATGAGACGAGTACAAATATCGTGTGATATTTGTACTCGTTTCGCGTGTTATTTGTACTCGACGAAGCAGAGTTGGATAATAAATATTATTATTACTATTAATGTCGGACATTGATTTAGATATTAAAAAAAATTATTATTATTATAAGTCTTTATTATCATTACTATTATTATTATTATTATTATTATTATTATTATTATTATTATTATTATTATTATTATTATATACAGAAAACCTCACCGCAAAGTTACATGAAATCAAAATTGTACCTTTTTCTGGGCTAGCTTAATCGGGCTCTGAACAACCCGGCGAAGCTACGCCTTTAGGCTGGCCTAAATCTATATATTACGCTGTTTTGTTAGCGCGCTCAAATTGCTTACACCGTAAACCGCCAAGCTACGCAGGCTATCCTCTTTGTGACTTCTTTGACTTCTTTGCCTACGCGACTTCAGCTCGTTTTATTCCGCCGTCTGCCAGCGTACGGAAGGTAGGAGGGGCAGGAGTTGATCACCCGGGATGGTCCTAATTAATACCTGCAAATCAAAGTAAACCTTCCACTCGACCGCGCGTTTGTTTTTTTTTTAGGTACAGCGAAAATTCGAAGCGGTTGATTAGACAGTAGAGGCATGTTCGAAGAATCATGTCCTTTTTTGTTTGTTTGTTTGTTTTTTTTGCGGCGGGTTTTCTAGGCGAAAGAAATTTATACAGTCGACCCATGTTAATTTTGTGTCTTACGCAGTATGCTTACCTTTTTTTAATGTTGTTGTTATCCCTGAGGAGCTTGTCTTTCCTCCAAGTAGGATAATTACAAAAAAAAAGTGCATCCAAAGACTTCAATGGAATCCACGCCATTCCTTATTTTTTGCAGCATCATTTTTCGGAATTTTTTCTGGTCCTGGGATCATTTGCAGTCCAATTTGGGGATCACTTTCGGAGCTGTACAGACCCCTAGTTCGACGTGCGTAATCCAATTCATGTTTCTTTTCCAGTCAACTTTTTTTATTGTGAAGACTATTCTTATGCAAAAACTAGGTGTTTCCAGCTGACTTCAGGTCGGAGTTACACTGTAAAGGAATACGATATTTGTTCGGGTGTGCTAAATTGAAGAAAAGTAACTTACTCTAACTTTCTGTCGAAAGGAATTTTAGTTTACTATCAGAAAACTAGTGAAATTCCACTGAAAATAATTCCACCCATAACTACGAAACTCAAAGATGCTAAAACTAGCCAACGCAGCAAGGTGTTAATAAGGCTCGTGAAGCTAATTACTATGCGAATTTCGGTTTTAACGTGCGAGCAGACGTGAGCTCAGAACAAATGTTCGTTAAGAGAAAATTACCTTTTGTTCCGATCACACAACTGAAAGCATTTTTTACGAATGTAATAGGGATACTGTTAGAGGTGAAGATAATTAGTTTTCCTTAGTTTTAAAAGTTCTTACCAGAAGTTATTGTTACTTAGTAAAAGAGTGCACTTATGAGTATAACCCAAAGAACTGAAATACAGAAATTCCCGAGTATAACCTAAGTTATTTCAAAATATGCTTCTACAATTCCATACTATTCCTGGTTACCCAATTCCTTACATGGAGAAACAACAGTGGCGGATCCAGACCTTGAGCTACGGGGCGGGGGTGGGGAGCGGTTTTGTGGGGTGGGGTTGGTTTGCTTGCCCTGCCGGCTTTTCTTCTTTCTGTTATTTCTTTTTTTTTTACCCAAAATAAGGGGTGAAAAAAAAACGTACACAATGTACTCTAGCGACCTGATGACGCTGTAATTGAAAAAGGAATACACAATAGGAGACGCTTACTGCTACATGTACAAGGGACACCAGTAATTGAAATGACGCTTGATTTTGAGTAACACTGTAGGGGACTGGACACAAACTGACTGGCAAAGCAGAGTCTCGGCAAGGAAACGTTTGAAAACGTTGAAGTCGGTTGACTTTTGAACAGTGTGATGTGTGACATTTCTCAACGGTTATTCTAGTGCTTTAAGTAGAGTTGCCACGCGACTAAACGGCGGATTCGCCTGTTCCAAATGTCCACTTCTTCCCCGGGGCGGGGGGGGGGGAGCACTGCCATATATGGGCTACATAGGTATGTGCCGCTGTGAAGGGTATGGTTTTCAAGCAATTTACTCTAGGACAGGGTATATAAATCAAAGCGTTTGGGTTTAGAATAGGGTATCATTTTTCACAAAACTGACTGGTTGGTTGAAGATTTTATCTAGAGTAAAGAAACCAGAAATTGCCACTCAAAAATATAAAAAAATCAAATCGACAAGTTTAAATTTAGGCAAATCAGTCTCAACAGTGTCAATAGATGGGGGGATTTGGGGAGTTTACTCTAGTATAGGTTAGCAAAATTCAGCTTAACTAGCTCTGGTATAGGCTAAGGGTTCCAGCGTCACAGCGGCACATCCCCGCCCAGAAATTCCCAAAGTACCCCCCCCCCGGGACTTCTTCAAAGCTATCTTTGACGTTCCCAACATTTTCGCAAGTGCAGACCAGTATCCCATATAAGGTACCGCTGTTTGAATGACGGAAGTCTATTGCAGGGAGCGTTTTGATTTCAAAGGTCACGTAGCAGTGAAAACAGTGGTAACTGTACAAAATATCTTGAGACGCACTAAAGGCGAATTGCAAGCTTGCGACAAGACAAACCAAAAAATAAGAATAATTGCGGAATCAAAGCGGAAACACAACAAAAGAGAAGCAGAACTAGCTACACCTTGATCCTGGGCGCTGCTGCCTAGTCACTTGGCCTGTTGATTGGTAGGATTTAATACTGCACGAATAACAAAGGCCGGCAGATCTATCAAGGGAAGACTGTTGATTGACCCAGGTAAACAAACTGGGGAGTTGAGCAACGGCGAGCTGCGAATTTCGTGAGACAGCCGGTTAGACGGGTAATCCAGATCGATGCTGCAAGCCTGAGACTGCACGAGTAGTGAAGCGCTTGGAGGTTCTGGCTGCCCTTGCTTTTGATATCTATAAATCGCCTTCTTCTCTTTATCGTCGTTCGCTAAATCGTAATGTTTGTATTCTAAAACTGTTTTTCACCCGTACGGCGACTTACCCGCCAAAAGAAGTAACTTCTGGCTTAAGCAGACATGCCTCTAGCCTGCGAACAGGCTCCCGCTGAGCCCGCCCCGATCGCTTTGCTCTCCGAATTCTTCTGTTTCGCGCTCGCCGAAATTTTTTTCCGTCCTTGCCGGGAGCCTGTTCGCAGGCTAACATACCTCGATCCACTGCGTTCTTCGTTTTCTGCCATTTTTCACAAGACGTCGTCCTCGCGGTCGCCGTCATAAACTCTGTTGTACAATGTATCATCGACGAATTGCTACGATCTAAAACGGGTTGTAACCAATTAGGCTTTTTTTCGACGAAATTTTTGTAATTTTGTAAGGTTATCTTTCTGTTTCAGAAACTTGTCTCTACTTTGATTGAGATTTAAAGATATTTCCTCTGGTTTGATGGCTTTTGTTCGCCTGACATCCAAAGGGGAGGGGGGGATGTATAAATTGCATGCCGCACAATTAACAAAACAATGGCTTGTGTTACAGCATGAGAAACTTTATTACTACTTTCGTCAATTTCTAAAACCTTACGATGGTAACTAATAACAGGCATTTACAATACACATTATACAGTCAAACCTGTATTGGGCGGGCACCCTCGGGACCCTTGCAAGTGTCCGCTCAATACAGGGTGTCAGTTGAAAACATTCGTCTTAAAAGGGTCATATTAATATTCGTCAGCATTAAAAGGCCTTGAAAGGGTCAAATAGCATTCTCGTGAAGGGCCAATAACTCTGAAATACCGTATTTCCATAAACGACGAGTACACGAGGTAAAGCGAAATAACGGTGTCCGCGTCCCCTTAATAGGTGTCCGTTGAATACGGGTATTTTTTACAGTAACTGTGGGAAAAAATTGGACTTTCACTGCTGTCCGCTTAATAGAGGATATCCGCTTATAAACACGGGGTCCGCTCAATACAGGTTTGACTGTAGCATCCTGAATACGGGCCTTATTAACAACTATACAAACTGTAAATAAACTGCGTCGGCGCTACAAGTTATGTTGATGAATAACAATACCATTCCACAACTCTCACTGCCTTCTAAAAACTAGCACGTCTAAAGAGTTTTAAATCATTATCATTTAACACACATTTGGCATTATTTATCATATATTTAGGAGCATTCTTAGATTATCCTCTCGTCTTCTATTTCGACCAAAGTTTTTGTAAAAGCTGTGGAAACACCGCACAATAGTTCTTATGCGCGTATTTCTGAAAATGGAGAGAAACACGGAAAATGTTTTAAGTATTTCACGGGATTAAGTATTATTATTTTACGGGATCAGTTCTCGTAACTAGACAAGAAATTTAAGACAAGACAAACAAGATAATCAAGAAATTAAAAGGCAAGAAGAGTGAGCTTACACTTTCAAAAAACCTTCTACATGTAATACTTACAATCTGAACGAATTTCAGCCGTCTAAAATATAAATCAGTTCACTGTAACAATTACAATAGTATTTTGCAAGAAAAAAAAAAGAAATAAAAAGAAAAATGAATAAAACACCTCCTTTGGATTACTATATGTAAAAAGGGTGTCGTTGATCTAACGCCTTCTAGGCCATCAATAATTCGATCATTGGGGAGAGGGGGGGGGGGGGGGGGGGGGGGGGGGGGCTTTGGTGACAACATTATTTCAATTATTATAAAATGGTATTATAGTCAACTAGATACAAAAACTACAGAACTTACTTCCAGTGCTTTCAAACAAAATTTTGTCATTTAATCCCAGTCGTAGTTCAGGCATGCCAGTTAAGTAACACCTCATCTTCACGGAACCGACAATTTCACTCTGAAGCACATTGGCATTTGCACTAACCTAGAAAGGGCCATAATTATTTTTAAAAAAACAAAAACCATCAAGTCATGGTGAAGAGATTTCTCCATTTTCTTCTTAGTTTTAGTTTGAACTGAGAAGATATATCAAACACTCAAGACAGTGTTTGACCAGATTTCCAAACACCATGAAAAACATCAAAAACACTCTGCTACAACTAATATTTTCATCTTTCTTCTTGGTGTTTAGCCTCTTCCAAGTGTTCAGTTATTTGGGGCCCAGCACAAAAAACGGTGAGTGCAAAAATAGGGGAGAATTGCGGCGTTCTTCCACTTTATTTCACTGCACCTATCCACTAAATTTTTTCTTGCCGTGTTTCATGCTTAGCCCCAACTAACTGAACGCCTGGAAGAGGCCACTCAGTGTTTGAAAGTGTGGTCAAATACGGTCTTTTGTGTTTGATAAAATCACTTAACACAGTACATACATACCAGCAAATTCACTGATTCAATTACATCCAGGAAAACCTCATTTTTGCGATATTTGACTCCTTCTCCTCTCCAGGAGACAGCATTGGTCAATGCAACAGGGGGCTTGGGTGCACCAACATCTAATTTGTGACCTTCTTGAGTGATATACCTGCAGTGATGAAAAAGATAAAGAGTTTGAATGCCAGTTTATTTCCACTGCTTTCTATACTTCAACTAGTGAAATCCTTATTCTCCCAGCCGGGACAGGGTAACTCCTTCAGGCAGAGCATACCCATATGGTCTGCTGCATAGAGATTACCCGCTTTCCCAAAATGCAAACAAGGTGGCAATACATAAGGTTGACCATTGTGCATGTCTCCCACAGTCTATGTAGGTTAGTAGTCAACACAGTCAAACCTCAGTCTTAGTCAGACACCTCCGTAATACAGACACTTCTGTATTAGGGAAAGTTAACTTAGTGACAGTGAAACCACAATTCATGTAATCTCTTCCTGTAATTTGGTCATCTCTGTAATAGGGACATTCATATCTACCCCTTCGGTTTCCGTGTTAAAGAGGTTTGACTGTAGTACAAAAATAGTATTAACAAAAGAAGGTAAAGTTACTTACTCCTGTAAGATCTTTGTTTCAGTAAACTGTGGATAGCCAAAGTCTACTAACTCATCCAGCAGTTCATAAATGATCACAAAATTGTCTCTGATGCTCTCCTCTTCAAGTTCTTTGAAATACTCTGTAAACACCTGCAAGATAATAAAAGTCATTTAAAACACATCAAAATTCTTAACTTACATCCATGTATCTTTAACTTGTCATAGAATGAATGACGATGTACATAGTCAAATGATTGTACAGTAGTGGTTTTTCATTAGTAACCTAAATATTCAATAATGAGGTCAGCATTTCACAACCAATCACCAGACATAGATTGACTAGTAACATACACCAAACTCAAAGTCTCAAGATAATAAGCAAAAACATTTTACAAGCTATGCTATTTTTTCTGAAGCTTACAGCAGTAGGAAAAATGTCTGCAGGCACATTGTGAAACCATGGAAAGAAGAATTTATTACTCAACCTGGAACTTTATTTTCCTCATGTATTAGTTTTAGGATTCCCCCTCCCGGCTATTTGTGTCCAAGACTTAGCCATCCTTCTTTTTCTGGTGTAACAGTTGTCTCAAATACATCAATTGGTATAATTTTCATGTGCTCTTTTCTAGATGACTCAAACTGAGGTACAGCACTATAGAAATGACTATAGTACGATTTTCTACACCTCCCTGACCCCGGCCCCCGGTGCCTCAACACCCAGTTGTGTAAATGGGTTTCAGTGAATTTAATGCTGGGGTTACACTGTGATGGACTACACCTGTAGCATCCAATCCAGGGGAAAAGCCAGGATTCCTCAAAGGGGGGTCATACTGTGTCAAAGTGAGGGTACTCGCCAGATTGCCATGGCGTTTTCACCACCTGTTGTAGGTTGTTTGCTTAAAAAAGGCTAACAAAAGCAGGGTCACGTGCACTCCAGGACCCCTTTGGCTGCGCCCTTGCCATCCAAGGGGGAATGCAAATACACCTAGTCGCCTCGTGCTACAGAAACTGGAGATAAGTGCCAGCCTAATGGGCCACTTGGCTCGTATGCAGTCGACTTTACCATGATATCCAAACTGATGGTGGATATCACTTTTACAGGAAAAGAAAAACAACGAGAGTGAGCACTATGCTCTAGCTTGAATACATAATTTTACAAACAGTATTTTATTTTAAATAATTTACCTGCACCATCTTGTGAAGGAAGACAAATAATAAAGCCACATTGGCATTCTTCTTTGTCATTGATACGACTGAAAACTGCAGTCAAGGAACTCAGCTAAAAGTAAACACTGTCAGTGGAATGTGCATTCTACACTGTCTCACAAAATGAAAATAGACTGTCTAGCATCTATTCAGCCAGTTGTTCAAAACAAGTCATTTGATAAGATACACTTGCTACTTTCAGGTCTCCAATGCAGTTGAGCAAGCAGTGTCCTCAGTATAAATTCAGGGAGTAAATCTCCAATTTGGACCTTAGGATATTTACTGCCAATAACACTTTCCCCGGACTTGTTCAGTCAAATTAAACTTGTACTATCCTGGTTATAAAACTCTTCTCTACCGTTGTATCTCTAGCAAGAATTAACTTGGATTTTTTGGCAGGTAAATACATGCTGCCCACTAGGAGGGGTGGAAGCCTCATGGTTATAAGAGTGTGGTGGGCCCATTTTATTGAGACGTGTTCTTGGCCAGGACAACTAAAATTGTACTCTCAAGGTGCCTTTCTCCTCTCAGGAAAATAAATGGGTACCAGCAAATTGGTAGGAAACCCTGGCATAATGGGTTTTTTTGGGGGGGGGGGGAACCCTGTGATGGACTTAGCATTCCATTCAGGGGGAGTACTGTAACAATACTCCTTAGCCACTTCATGCAACAGAGACCAGAGATCTGTGACATAGGAAAAGTGAGGGTGGTGGGGTCAAAAAAGGCAAAGTTTTTAGAAAGCATGATACTATACTGGTATTTTCTTGAAAAGGGTTGGGAGGGGCAAACCTGACTTCCATGGGAGGGGTACTGTATGGATTCTGGGGGCTTAAGTATACATAATTTTTTCCCCAAGAGTTTTGAGAATTGGGCAGCATGCAAAAAGTAGTCTCTGAAGCTGAGCTATCAGAATTTTCAGTGAACTTCCTTGGGCAATGTAAAGAATGATCTCTGGGATCCACAAAATTGTGCATACTGTGCATACAATTTTGTCTACATAATCTCCTTCCTACCCGAATGGCAGCCAAAAGAGTTGCAAAATTCTATGCATAATTAAGTATGGAGTTATAACCCATTAAATCACTACATGGGTAGAACTCTTTTAATATAACACCACCAATAACGTGGAAATAGCAGGAAATAGTTACAAGACCCCACCACAAATGAATCAGCTTTTGATTTTTTTTGGTCATTAAAACTTTTCTTTGATTTCTAGTTCTACAGTCTCACTTTGCCATTGCTAGATTTAGGAACACCTGATCACCATAAATAAAAGGATACGATATAGATTATTGTACTTGATGTACACGAACGTAACATCCTGATGCACACAGATAGGTGTCTGTGTTCCTTCTTCTTCCTTCTCCAATACAAGAGGCATGAACTTTTCGATCGAAGACGTCTCGATATCCCCTCGATAATTCCGTGAGATTATCACCTAGGCAGGTTAAATGTAAGGATAATGTCGGAATGTAGCCTTTTTCCGCTAAACTACTTCGGTTCAAAAGGAGCTATACAAAAGTTACAGGAGCTAGCGCTCTTTTCGCTTACCTTTCCTTTGATGTCAAGAACGAAAACAGCTGACATAGACATCCTCAAGTTGTTTCAATTCACAAATAAAAAGTACAAAGACAGAATAGCATCCGAAAATAACGTTTACAGTGCAGTTTCAGTCAAATAAAACAACTTTTCACGAGTCTTTAGCCGGTCGAGGGTTTATATTCGAGGTGCACGGCCAACTCGACAACCAAAGAGCATGTTATAATTGTTAGGGGAGGGGTATGAGATGCTTTAGCTTGTTTAGTTGGAAGCTGTCATTTTCTTTGAGTCTTTGAACCTAACAATACTGATACATATTTAATCTATACATCTAATAAAATTATAAAATCTTATTTTTTTGTCAAATTTCTGTAATAGACAAGCCACAAAAATAACTTTTGCTTATTCCCCCATATACCCGTCCCTCAAAAACCTAGTTTTGTTACCAGGCGATTGTGCTTGGTAACCATACAAAACACAAAATGGCGGCGTGAGAAGTTGTGAAAAGAAGACTCCATCTTTTCTTTCGTCTTCCACGATATATAGTCTTTGAGTGGTGCCAAAGTAAAACCATCATGTCTTTGCAAGGAAAGAAACTACAGACAAAGTCAAAGAACGAGTCCAAAGAAAAAACGGCTGAAAAAGTAAAAGCAATTCGCGAAAAACAAAGCTTGTGGATGAAAGAGCGAGAAGCCTCAAAGTCTTCTCCATCGAAACTCAAGTCTCTAAGCAAAGAGCACGCTGCACTGCCTGACGTGCCAAAATTTCGAACACGTTCAAGTTTGTCTAGTGGTTCGTCTGTGGAAAATTCTACAAACAGAAATCCCTACAGCAATCCGCGAAGAAAACCGTTGTATCCCGAGCCCCAACGAGACCATTCAGATGTTATTTCTTGGATTTCCAAGGGTGATAATCCTGTTCCTAGGAAGCAGAGACCGCCTTCGACGTCTAGCAATCATAAGAAGCCAAGCTCATCTAGCATTGTAGGGACAAGTAGTGACCATAACATGAAGTATACACCGTCTAATTATGGAAACTCAATTTCTGCCGGGTCTCTAAATAGTCCACCTCTTACCTCGAGTAAGCAGACTCTTCATAATAAGCTTAGGCCATCATCACGAACATCTGTCAAACCTGATAGAAGTTTCCATGGTGATGATAAACATGATAATTGGCTTCATGGTTATGATGGTGATGAGTTTTCAGGAGGAGGCAATCAGGGTCCTGAAAACACATATGATCCTCTAAATGAAAGCCAGGCTAATATTCAAAACAACGATTCTTTTAAAAGTGACACTTTGAAGTTGAACACACCAGAGTTATCTACTGATATGCTCAATGCTTTGGCAGATACAGTTGCTGAAAGGCTCAAAACAACATTGCAACCGACTCTTAATCATAAACAACAGCGAAAGAGTATTCAAGAAGACAGTGAATCAGGTATTGCTAGTCACTCATGCCCTCTTTGTGAAAAACTGATGACCGGGCCCAGACACACACCCATGGCCGCTATACCATGTGGACACACATACTGCCAGACATGCTTGCAGGACTGCAAGAAATGCCCAACTTGTCAGACAGTTGTGAAGTCAACTGCAGTTAATACTGTAATGCAACAAATAATCACAGACTTCAAAGTTCACAAAGAGAAAGAGAGACTTCAAAAGCTTGAAGAGCAAACAAGACAATATGTGGAGGAGTATCAATCACTTGCACTGAGATGTAACACACTGAATGGTAAGAACACTGACAGCTGTTGGTAGGTTAAGTCTGTGTCTGGCTTTTTTCCCTTTTCATACGGGAGTCCCCTCCTGGGATCTTCTCCCCCTTGGATGGGATGACAGTCAGTTGCCAGGCTAACCCACAGCAATAAATATGCCAGTTCCCATATATACTTCACTTGGGTAAAGAGAGGCACTATCAGAGTAAAGCGGCTCAAGGACATAGGATAGTGATCTGGTCATAACTGCAACCTGTACCAGGCAATCCAGATGGGGCTAATGGATAAATCAGTGTACAGTGAATAAGTGTTAGATAAAGTACAAACTGCTTTATCCTCTGGATATTGATTTGTAAGGCAGATACATGTAGTCCTCGGTGGTACTCCTAGAAAAATTGGGTAGGGGTGTGCAGCTCACTTCCCAAAACCCTTACTCTATTTACATGTAAGACCAAAATCTACAATTTTCCCCAAACTATTTATGACCTGATCAACAATTTGATACCCTATTAAGGACCTGACCTTTGAATCAATACCCTGATAAAGGTATTGTGAAGGGCTTTTGTTGATGGTCTTATCAATAATGATGAAAAAGCAGCTTCTCGTAAAAAAAATTAACAAATACCCAATTCAAGACTTGTGTGCAAAACCATATCCTATTCGAGACCAAAATGGCTAAAATCAATACCCTGTAAGTATTTCAGACCAAAATGGCTAACAAACCATACCCTTTGGGGCTACACATATCTACATAACGGAAATATACGCGAATTACGTGTATATTTTGGTTTGTATATATCTGAGCTGCACTGTAGAAGAGAGTATCCCTCCCCACCACTGGATAGTCCAGGTTTGTAATATATACATGTAGCTTTTCATACCGGAATGTACAGTATGTACTGTATGTATGTTACTCTCCCTCTTTTCTGTAAAATTAGCGGCTGGAGTTAGACCATTATTTTGCTGTTTTGACACACCCTGTAATTTAAATATTAACTTATTTTAAAGAGTTCATTTGTACTTTCAGGAGAGGCTGAAAGTGTTCTTAACACCATGGAGGAAGTCACTGAACAGCTTCTGGACGAAAAAAAATTGATGAAAAAACTGCAGATGGATGAAGATGAGCTCAAACAAAAGATAAATCGCCTGCAAACTGAACTTGATAGTATCAAGGTGAAGCAAGAAAATTGTCAGGGACGATGCCATGACTTGGAGCACCAATACAACGAGGAGAAGGAAAGACTATCTATGATAGAAGATACAGTGCAAAGAATTGGAAAGAGCAAAGAACGGGTTAAGATGATGGTGCATAATTTCGCTCCAGCATTAGACCTTGATGATTACGATTAACCTTCTTTGTCTCAATATCGAGATTGTAATCCTTCTCACAGAACTCCATACTATTCTTACAAGGCTGGTTGGGAGAATTTGGAAGATTGTCTTAAGTAATCAGTATTAAAATAATTTTATAGTTAATTCGTTTACTCCCATGATCAGTTTGCATGTGCTTCATTTTGGGCAATAACACTGTAATAAGTTACATTTTAGGTGTTTTAATCTACTGTGAATGTCAAAAGAGTAAATGCTAGTTCTCTAGATGTGAATGCCAGTTACTACAAATATACTGTATATATTTTGCACTGATGGAGTTTCATGTTTGGCTGAAAGCCAGGTACATGACTTTTAAATGTTTTCAAGTGCATTTTACGGTAATAGAATAGTACTTAAAAACTTATGTAAATATTATTCATTCTCATCCTCTTTGAAACTACAAATAGTACTACTTGTGCGTATATATATGTATATAGTGAACATCTATTTATCTGCCCTGGAAATGGCCATCAAAAATTATTGATGGTAATACAGAACATAATGTTTTAGGCTGTGCTCTGGTTTGAGAACAAACAGTAGGGTAAGTTGCTTGTACTTATTTCTTGCTTATTTATAGTTTTAATGAGAACTTTTATCATTGCTAGATATATTTACTTACAGATTATTATTATTATTTCTTATATCAGAAGAAAATACAGTTTGTAAGTTATTACTAGCTACACTCTTATATAAAATAATAATATGATCATTTAACAACTGTATTTTGCAGGAGGCTCAGTGGCCTCGTGGCTTAGTGCACTCAACTCCAGAAATCTTCAGTGGTCCAGGTTCAAGCTTGGCCAGATAGATTGTGTTATGTTCTTGTGCGAGACACTTCACTCTTACAGTACCTCTCACCACCCAGGTGTATAAATGGGTACCAGAGAATTTAATGCTGGGGGTAACCCTGTGATGGACTAGCATCCCATCTAGGGGGGGAGTAGAAAATTGATATTCCTAGTCACTTCATGCAACAGAAACTGGGACAAGCTCTGTCCTGATGGGCCACTTGCCTTGTATCAAGGTTGACAAGAGCTGCTCCAGGCTGTTGGGCAAAATCGCCATCTACGATGTCCTGGCTAATTACCTGATTCGTTAGAGAAGGATGGACTCTAAAACTTCATCACAGCCTTGGTGAAAAGTTTGATCCTAAGTAGTAAGTGAAACTATATCACCTCATTAGAGATCTCAGCACCTTNCGCCCCTCCCCTTCTCAACTCCCCTTCTCCCCTCCCCTTCTCCCCTCCCAATCTGCCGAAGTGTGGCTTGTGACAACCACACAATGCATGGAAATAGCGGTTTAAAGCAGTTATAATCTGTTTAAATTTAAAAAGTTCCCTGACCGACGACTTATGTCACGGCTCAGAAGTGGACCATCATAAAAAATACCCGACCTGTCCTCTGTCGGTGCTTTCTGCACGAGCGGTAAACTGGTACCGAAATGGGAACGAGGCTCACAAAGCGCAAATTTCGAAACAAGGACGGGGTTACCAAGCCCAAGATGGCGAATGTGAAGTTCCTGATATGGTTTCAGTTCACGAGTTGAATATATTTCAGCGCGAAAGGTCATGAAATATCACGCGTGCAGGTTACCTTAACGTGCATTTTTTTTTTAGTTCACCTTTTTCCATGGATGTTGAAACCGAAATACATGTGCCTTTTGCACCCCCATCGTCGCAAAATGGCTTCGCTTCTGCAAAACGACCAAGAACAGATGAAGGCGAGGACGGAGATCGCGTCGCTAATTTGTCACGCGATGGCTTTGAACCGAGGAACGATAACGGTGTGTTCTTCGATAAGAGACCTTACCAGCCCATAGATTATTCGACCTCAGCTCTTCAATTGTCCAGAAGATTTTTGCCAATAAAGGCAAGTGGTTTAGTTTACGAGTCCGAAGATTGTCGCCCCAAAGGGGAAACTTTGTACACGCCATTGAAAGACGATGTGATTGTGAACACGAGAAATATTGAGCAGTTTACTTTCACCAATGGATCTTTCTTTATCGGAGATGAGTCATCGAGGTTTAATCGGACAGTTCAAGGTAAAGATACGTTCCAACCAAATTTTTACAAGTGTTAGCTTAATATTATAGTAGGCTTATAGCTTGCATGCACAGTCAATTTAATTTGTAATAACTTCAGTATACGAGCCAGGAGCACGCGTGTATTGAGAATTTAAATGTATTGTCAATATTAGTCTTCAATTAGGTTAGGGCCTCATTCCCTTTGAGGAGAAGATTTCGTTCCAGATAATGTACATCACATTCCTTCCAAATCTCGTTTCTTTTTCCTCCCAAAATCCGAGCAGTGACATTTGGAGAAGCGGTAACAGGGGAGTAAAAGGGGTGGAAACTTATAAACGGAAAGGGGAAAGGAAAGATGGCCTCCCAGGGAACTGGGAAAATAGGAGAACACTTTTGCAATATTTTTTGACGGAAAAAGCATCAAGAGATGGAGGATGGGTGGGAATTATAGGGGTAAAAGGTATGACATGTGGGAAGTCTTAACCCCCTAGCTGGTTCCCACCTAGACTGCAAGCAGTCTCTCTTTTCCTTGAAAATCCTTGTAGAAGGACGTAAAACAAGTAAGCATGTGAGTGTGGCCTGCAAGCAGCAATGCCGTAAGCCGCTAATAGCACAGACGTCGGAAGACGAGTGAAAAGAGAGACTGCAATGGTTTCATACAACATTTTGGATGCTACTTTGACAGGTCACATCAATGACACCTCTGCCCTTTTTTTGAATATGGCACTTCGGGGTCTATTTTTTTTTTACTCCAATCTATCAAAGCTATATCTGGTAAGATGTGATGAATGGTTCGACAGATTGCAGCTGAAACCAGGCCTATGACCTCTCAAAAATTTTCATACTGCTCGGTCAAATGGCTCTTCTCTACTTTAAAGTCCTGCCAATAGTCCACAGTCTTTCAAAAACAAGTGTGAAGCATACAGTAAAACTAATAAATGGTCGCAAGATCGAAACTCAAAAAAGATTGGCAAACGTCATGAACCGTAGGAGTTGCACCGTACGAAGCAAACATTGCAACAGAGTTTGGTTTTGCACTGCATGTCACTTGTAAATTGGTTACTGACAGATGTGCGTCATAACTTCGTGGGCCAACCAATAGAATTACTCTGTCACCAGAGTGCTGGGCATCCAAAATGTTGTATGAAACCATTGCAGTCTCACTTTTTGTTCATCTTCCGATGCCTGTGCTACTAGGAGCTGACAGTCACGCCCCCACACACTTACTTGCAATGTGTTCTTCCCCACAGATTTTCAAGGAAAAGAGAGACTTCTCACAATATAGTTCCCACCCTCTTCCCTGTTCACTTAGGGTTGTTCAAAACAAGATTTTATTTCAATTACTTTAGTCGTTATAATTATAGCGGCACTGATACTCAAGGTAGTTAAGAATTTATTCCAAACTTTTCAGTTAGATGGTTCAATATGGTTCAGATATTGAATGACTGTACTGTGTGTAACCTAAAAACCGCTTGTTATCCTTTACTGAGTAATTGCCCACCAAAATCCGGCTGGCATCATCTCTTCCTCAGCCAGAGAATTTTGTTGGCAGCTGGCGCTTAGCAACAACCCTGCCCACTCACTTAGTGAAGTGTAGATAATGAAAAAAAGAAGCTGTTTAGAAACTGGGAAGGGTTATGTGGGAAAGTCATTCTGTATTAGCACTGATACATTTGAATTGATTGTCTGACTCACTGACTCACTGACTGGCTGATTGACAGATTGGTCAACTGATTGATTGATAAGCTATTGACTAACTGACTGATGACTGACTGATTGATTGACTGATTGACTGATAAGCTATTGACTGACTGACTGACTGACTGATTGACAGATTGATCGACTGATCAATTAATAAGCTATTAACTGACTGACTGACTGATGGACGGATGGACAGAGTGACTGACTGATTGACAGATGTGATTGACTGATTGATTGATAAGCTATTGACTGACTGACTGACTGACTGATGATTGTCTGACTGACTGATCATGTGATAAGCTATTAATTGACTGATTATTGACTGATTCATTTTTTTTTACATGTTTTTATTTCCTCTAGGTGTCTCATTAAACATGTGGAGATTTAATGATCAGACGAAGAAGTTATACATTTCAAGATCTTTCGTATTTACAAATCTGCAGGTGAGTTACATGTAACAATCATTTAGCATGATTTATTGCATGTGATAATTTCTGTTGGGAAACTGAATTGCTTTGACTTATATAATGTATGGTATAACTTTTTAGTTTATAAAGCTTCGACATATAATTTTGGAGGCCAAATAGTTTTTCTGAATGAGCTAAAATTGTTACAGTATGATATTTGTTTTAGTTCAAATTATTTTTCTCAGCTACATGACAGTAGCTAAGTTGGTATGGAAAAAACATCTCTTGCCTCATTTATCACTGTCACACCTTCTTTACTTTCAAACAATGTTTCCCTAGCATTGTTGCCTGCGGCCCAGAAGAAGAGCCAATGTCATTATGCGTCTCTCTAGATCAGTCATTTATGATGAAGGCTATTGTAACTCACTATATATTTTTTTGCATGAAATTAGTGTTACGATTCAAAACATTTTGTCTCAAAATTATTTAACATTACTTTGGTCTATTGGTATACCTTTCTCTAAGTTGTCTAGCAAAAGTATCAGCCAGTGCGCCTCAGCTAATAAAATTCATTTGAAAATATTTTCGTCTCTTTTCAGGAAGCACAAAACATCAAAAGAGTTTTGGAAGCTATGTAGAACCTATTGAAAGTTATTTTATTCTTTTAATGTTTTTTATGCTTTTAGGAATTCATAAAATGGTCATTTTTTTGTACTAATCAATAAATAAGCAGGTTAATTGTATTTTTAGATGCCATTTCTGAATGTTTAAGCTATCTAGACTTTATCCTTGAATTAAAAGTAGATAACATACCAGACAGACAGATGGGAAATAGAATGAGGGAAGGAAAGTGGTGAAGGAAGGAAGGAGGAAAGGAATGGTTGAGAAAGGGAGGGATAGAGAGATGAGAGAAAAGGGAAGAAGGAGGAAGGAAGAATGTTAAGTGGAAGGGGGGGGGAGGTAGAGAGAGAGACAGTTGAAGGGACTGGGAGGGTCAAGAGATGATAAATCTATTACTCACTTCATACATGTATGTTTCCTGCAGTTCATCGAGTACATGCACATCACCTCTACAAAATTATTAATGTTATTATTGAGAAAATGATAAGATCCATTTGATAGGATATACATGTATATAAAAATTTGTTGGAATTAGGGCCAAACACAGAACACATGTGCTTACAATTTGATGCACTCTTTCAAAGCTTGTCTATTTAAAATATGCTCTTCTTCCATACTATGAATTTCTTGACATAATTGTTTAATGATGGCTGTCGTCACATTGTAACAGCAGTGTATCACAACAATATTACTTTGTCCTGGGACAGGGTACAGCCCCTGGGGGTACAGCCACAACCCTAGAAGTGCTAACTGAGAGAGCACATATTTCAGAAACGAGACTGAGAGAAGGGGTAGATATTTAATGCTATTTAATGCCAGACTGGTCTTTCATGATTTCCGAGCAGCCACCATCTTGGATTTCTTGATAATTCTCTGCTAATTTTTAACCTAACTTGTTAAAAAGGAACAGAAACCTTTATTTGCACTTTAATCATGTAATTACATTTTTTTTTAGTTGTTGTTTGTTTGTTTGGTTGGTTGATTTTTTTACAATAACTCTTACTATCTATTTACCAGTTATTTGTTTAGATCAGTTCTTTAAGCTTATTAGTATTGTTTTATTGTCCCGTGGTTTTAGGTCCCCTTTACATTCTACACTTCGTGACTTCTTTAAGTATTTTTACTGTTAGAGACATATTTATGCTAATTTTATATCTTTACACTCGCACTTGAAAATGACCTCGGAGAGGTCGAAACGTCGTGATTTTTTATTGTTAGTTTTTATTTCAAAATAACTTTATCACACTTACAATAATTACAAATACACGTGGGTAAAAGTACATTACCTACCATGCAATTGGTTAAATTTTGCTACATATTTTCTTTTAACCTACCTTGTGTTACCTCAGCTGTAAATAAATCATTTACTTTGTTGCATTTGCATTTTTCCATGGTAAGAACTGTTAAAACTGAGAATATTCACTTTTTTTAAATATTGTAAGTCTGAAGTGTCATTGGCGGTTATTTTGACGTTTTAACGCGCGCGCTCTGTCACGGCAAATATAAAAGTGATGTTTTAGGACACAAAAAATTACCTTCAAATGAAACGAAATGCGAAGATTATAGTTTACTAAGGTAGAAAAAAACAAGGATGGATAAACCTTGAGAATGATTGAGAAGGATTACAGACACAGAAACGTTGGGGTAAAGGTTTGTACCCACGTAACTCCTCAGTTTAAACAAGGGGTTCTTACTTCCCGATGTCAAACAGTTTTAATGAGGTATTTGTAGGCCGGACATATTCCCTGGGAAAAAGGCATTATAACTGACTGCGTGGAGAAAAACGCTACTTACTTATAGCGTACTATTTCGCTTGCGTAATTTCAAATCTCTTTTTTTTTTACATGTAATTTTCCAGGTAAATCATGCATTCGTTTACTTGGCTTGCAAAGGTTTTTAATTGAGTGTCAAGGGCTGAAACCGCTCGATCTAAACCAGATAACCAATTTTATGATAACTGCAGCAATTCTCGCGCGCTCATTGGCTAATTTTCATCGTCAATAAGCGGACAGACACATGAATTTATCATTTATGCGATGCGTCAACGAGCGAGAGCAGAATGCGAGGCGGACAATTTGACAATCTGTTATGCATGGTAGAAAAAAAAACAAATTGACGTCAGTGTTTCGTACGTCTGTCCCGGTATTGACAATGAATTTCGTCATAACATTGCCAAAGTAGTCTGAGGATTCACTCGGCTATCGACTTGTGGATTGACAAGGTTATGACGAAATTCATGATCAGTAGCAATGGTCAGGTTTAGATATCGACGACATTCTGACGTCGCAAATCGAGAAACGACGTTATCAGTTTCCGTGCAAAAACGGTGGTAAAATGGTCCACTACGCCTATGATTGATCAAGGTCCATTTCTAGGCTTCGCCAACTTTTCACGGCAGCCAGAAAGAACATGCAACGCAAAAGGTAGCCAGTGTAAAAGGACCGAGAAAAACAGAAAGGAAAAGGGCAACAAGCAAAATTGAGAACGGTTAATGGCAAAAAAAAAGTCCAAAATTTGGCTTATGCGCATGCCAGGAATTGAAATATTGCTCAATTTAGTACCCAATCCTCGAAAAATCTCTCCTTTTAGTAAAAAAAGCTTTCTTAGCAAAACTTAGGCTTATTTGGCGTCATGGCAGCTAAGAAACCTGACTAAACGGTTAAAAACGGTATTTTTTGGCGAAAGTTTGGTATTCAAAGAGTTAGAGATTCAATTTTTAAAAATGATATCTGCATTCCGGATACTTATTAAAGAACAGTTGTTTAGAAGTGCAACAACATTGTCTTTTAGTTTCTGCTAAGACGTCACTCAATTTGGGCCGTTAATACGGCCAAATTTTCTTGGCTTATCTAATTCCACTGTATGTAAATCCTTACGATCACTTCAAAAAAGTGCTACAAAATGATTGTCCGGGATGATCTGGACCCGAGACATCTGGATCAAACAACGACCCACTGCATTCTGGTTTATTTGCCATTGCCACGATCGGTACAATCTCTGGAGAGTGGTTTCCATATGTTCGTAACAATCGCTGAACTTTTTGTTTCTCAGCGACTTTAACCACCATATAGAAACCAGCTTCATTAATGGCAAAAAATGACCAAGCAAATTTATCGAAACACCCTGATCAAGCTATAAGCTTTTTTTTTTTTTTAAGTGAATAATAGCATTTATATTAGCTGTATTTCTACTCCCATACTGACAGAGTAGAACCTCTCATCAGCATTAATTTGATTACCAAATGTCACATGCCTGGTGAAGTTAAAATTCAGATTTGGAAACGACACGGCCATGCACAGGTTCTTGTTATCCACTTCTTCCACCACAACGACACAAGGAGCCTGTTAAATAAACCAATGCCGATATGCTGTACTCACCGTTGTAGAATTATTTTTATATCATCCCATAGAAAATATACAGCCAATCAGAATACAGGAAAGCCGTTGTGTATCCGACGGTATTATATTCGACCTTCCAATCATGCGCCGCGCGTATGTCGCATTGCTTGTGTTGGCCACTATGGCATGGTATAAAAGAATTATGCAACGTTCTCTCGTGGTACCATGGAATATCAAGGCGAGTGTATATACCAAGAGAATACAAGTGAGTCGTAGGCTATTCCATGGTATACCACTCGAGAGTGTTGCATAACTAGTGGAAAACTCAGCGAGATTGTTATTTATGATGTGCGTCACAAAGTATCCTCATTGATAAAAGTTTAGCAAAACACACAGAAGTCTGTTAAATATGAAGTTAAACAAAAAATAACCCAGTGCAGTGAAAGAGCAGTTTTTTTCAATCTTCCGTCGGAAAAAAGATGGCGACTAGTACATTTACCCATAGTTCTTAGCGCACGAAAACCTTAACAACGTTCATAAAAACGTACAGAAGAGCTATAGAATCTTCAAACCCAGCATACACAATGTCCTTAGTACAAGGACAAATATTGTAAAAATTTGGCTTTCTTTGTGCCTTATAGGCTGTGTTAGGTTCGCAAGGTATTATGGTAAAAGGTACAGCCCCTATCCTTTTTTCCTACGGTGGATTGAGTGTCGTAAAACCAAAACCAAACCAATTACTTACCACTAAGAATACTCAGCTAATCTCAAACCGTAGTGAAACCAAAACCAAAACCAAAGTAATTGCTTGATTACTTTGAACTCTCAATTGAAAACCGCTCTATACGAGGTACTTATTAATTAATACTCGTGTTTATTCCGAGATATGTGTGGTGCAATCACGCAACCACATAAGGTCTATAAACAACAACAACAAACGAACAAATTATTGCATGCGAAATCATGAAGATTGTATATGATTCATGACGGCTTGCTCTTAAGATAAATTCTGACGAAACACGCTCAACTGGTGCCATGAGGGCACAATACATGTGAAATGCTTGTTTGTTACCGTTGACATCCATAAGGGTAGCCGCGTGGGTATCGGTGCCAAAGAAAGATGGCTGTATATTTAGGTCGGTGGCAAGTGAGTAACTTTTCTCATTTATAAGAATAGATGACGGATTAGCAGTATCTAACAGCTTATTCTGGAACAGTGTAGTCTGAAAAAAAAAAATCAAATAAAAACGTTTTAAGATACATTTAGTATTCCAGGAGATGGTACAGCAGAACCGTTTGAATTCTGGTCTGATAAAATGGACGTCAATTTTCTCAATTCAATTTTCAATTTTCCTGTCGCGTCTATTTGAATTCCAACCACTAAGGTTAGCGTCTATGATAACAAGTATTTCTGGAAAATAAATGCATTGCGGACACAGCGTACGTTTCCTTTCAGTGATTATGGGCGATATTCATTCAACGATTGCCGTTGTAAAATTCGCAATTAGTCAATAAGAAGGCTTGTCTACTGTCCCGATATCTTACGATATCAGGTCACCGACCTTGAGATCGCCGGAATTTTTACAAAAAAACTTTTTGCTACCCTTCAGGGACATATCAGGCTCGTTTGGTCTCTTTATAGGCCTAGTTTGGCTCGACTTCTTCTCGCCAAAATACGAACCATGCTATGGCTCGACCAGACTTACTTGACAGTACGATTATTAGGAAATAGAACCTCCGTTTACACTGTGACAAAGGTCATGGGCTTGTCATTGCTTCAGTACTTAATGGTGTAGAGGACCATTCTAGGGAGTGAAATGGAATGCCGGGTGGTCTTCGCATTTAAACGAGATTGTGTACTTTTTATGGAAGTGTAAAGAATAAACACGAACACTAAGGCCCCGTTCACACGTATCCGGATATTTTTGAATCCGCAACTTTTTCTTTCCGGATACGGCTTCCGTCCACACGCATCCGGCAAATTCGGCAGCGA